TCCCTCTTTCTTTCCTCTTACACCAAAACCCTCTCACTGATTTCTAATCCAGAGCAGTTATACTCTTTTAGTTTCTGGGTGGAGGAGCACTATCAGCTGGTGGAAATGACCACTTTTGACTAATTTCTGACCCTTTCCAACGCTGGGACAGACATACTAATGCAAATAGCACTAGCTCAGCTCTGTGTGAGGGGTGTTAGAGCAAAGAAAAGCAGCAATGTGTGTGGGATGTAACAGTAGTGTTGTAGATGCCACAGTTGGTCAGTGCCTAGTTTGATATCATCTAGTATTGTGTAGGGTTTGGCAATACGACACTTTAAGCCATACAGCGTCAGCATATCTTTTCTGTTGAAACAAATCACTGTGCTCTTTTAGAAGGGTGTTCAATCTTGATTGAAAGACTCAAGACTTTAGGAAATGTACTACCGTTTCTATTTTTAATGGCTCTGACAGTTTAAACTTTACATTTTAGTGGTATTAAGCACAACTGAGTGCTATCCTGTGGTCTCAGGTGCTTTAGCAATAGTGAGAGCAAATTACAAGCTGCGTTAGAGGTAAAATGAAAATATTTTATTTCATTTTCAAAGGCTGTTAATCGCAGCTGTGTAATGCACAGCTGAGAGGATGGCTAGCCTCTAAAAGGTTTGGTTAATGGCAGGGTTTTGAAGAAAATGCCATTCTAATGTTGGATTGCTTATTTAACCAACAGTTGATGTTGCAGTCCAGAAGTCCTGAAGATGGTCCTGCTAAAGAGATCAATACCTTGGCCTTCTATCTTTGTGTAGGGTTTATAGAGACTTCTCCCTGCTTTCCTTTTAATTTGTATGATTTCCTTATAGGTTTGACACTGTTTTACTACTACTTACAGAATTTCGTCTTAGTTAAAACAAAGGTTATGTACATTTAAATTAGTTATTTATCTGTAAGTTTTTATGTATGGACTGTAGAATTACATTTTATGTGTGTTACTATACTTGTCCTGACGCCAGTTGTAAATTCTGGATTTGGGGTTTTGTGTTTATCTGGCTGTGATGCTCTTGAAAACTTTTTCTTGATGCTCTGAAAACAGGCAGCTGCAGATGACAAACTTTTTATCTGGGACCTTTGCACAAAGAGTGATAGCTAGAATTACCACAAACAATGTCATATGTGTTTTGGTCAGCTTTCTTGTTTCTGGTTCTTGTAACTTGAGGAAGGGTATCAGTAAACTTGCAACATTTCAGTTACAAAATTAATTACTTAATGTCAATTGCCCTCAGTGGTTGCTTAACAGGATCAGAAGATCCTGTAGTAGGAGGTGTATGTTTTAGTCTCTTGCAACTTGAGCAGTTCTCTTATTGAAACACTTCAGCAAAACTTATGAGCTTTGTTTTGTTAGACCTAAAGATTTGGCTTCTTGTGGCAAATAACTCACTGGCCATCCATATCACCTGTGATAGGCCTATTTGAAGCTATTTTCTTCATTCAGCTTTTCTTGAAGGGTTGTGCCTGTTTTGGATGTGATGAAACATCCTTTCTTACGTGTCATCCTGTGGTTCAGAATAATTGTTCAGCTAGAGAGGTTGCTGTGCTTCCTTCTTTGGAGAAACAGTTGCTGTAGAGATGTGGAGACCTTGGAAAGCTGCTGCTTCAATGGAAAACTCCTTCTTCTCATGTTCTAGATTAAAATTGGAGTGTCTTTGGGTCTGTGATCTGAGGGTGTGGAATGTGGTCTTTCATTTAAAATATTGGACAGACTAGACAGGATGATGTAATATCCTGTACTGTTGGTTAGTATTTTAAATAAAAATATCTCTCTAACTGATTTTGGCCTTCCGGTTGAATTCAGACATTGCGTTGCTATAAATATTTATGATACACCTCCCTTAAATTGTATCAGCTATTTGTAAATAGCAACATTTTTGCAAGCCTGAATCTTTTTACAGAGCTGCATCCTTAACAACAACTCTGAAATAGATTATTTTGCTTAAGTACAGGTACACCAAGTACTAACTATCTAATGGTTAGCAACATTACTACACAAAAGATGAAGAAAAGTGGGAAGGAACACACCAGTCAAACAATTGCAAACATATTTCAAGTTGGAGGAATCCAGTTACCTGTGTTGGTATTTTGCCAGGAAAATGGAACAAATTCTGCTGGTTTTTTTTCAAATAATCGTAATTTAGAGGTGTCCTCCCAGTAGGTTGCATTGAGTTGTTCCCCCTCAGCTGGAAACTCTGCCAGCAGTTTTGTTCAGTCTAGTTATTAGACAGGATTTACTTCGGGGCAGGAGGTCTGTGAAAAAAGGTATTTCCTAAATTGCCTAGGATGCTATTCTGTTGAAGAGTTTTATTGGCTGTCTCCTCCACAGTCTTAGATTATTCTGAATAGGCCAGGATTTCCTATGCCAGAAGGTTGGTTGCTTTTTTACCACCTTTTGTCCTTTCTTGAAGATGGAATAGTTTGCTAATTTTTCCACTTTCTTCTCCATCCAAGTACTGCCCAGCTTTCCACCGTGCTTCAGAAGTAATTGCCAATTGTTTGGTGAATTTGTAGTATTGCAGTATTTAAACCTAACTCCTATAAACATGGTCTCTTAGCTGGTAAAGAATCCCTGTTCAAGACAGAACCTGACATGTCTTGTGGGGTAATAGAGGGCTTAGTAGACCAAATGTTTTGCAAAATGGAATTTACATTCCTCACCCACTACTCTGAATCATCTTTGCAACTCAGAGCTTGTCTCTTGCTTTTGAAATATTGCTCAAAGATGCTATGTGAGGGATTCGATAGTTAGTTGCGATTGAGAAGACAGTTGGAGATCCTTCAGTTTACGTGAGCAGGCTGTCACCAGACTTCTGAAAAACTTCAGAAAAACTTCACTAAATCAGAACAGCAAACTGCATTTCAAAACCTCTTTTTAATTTTCTCTTTGACTGTAACTGCTAGCAAGAAAGGGCCTGTCATTGTGGTCCAGTTACTAAATAAATTGCACCAATCTTCAGCAGAACTGATGCAATTTTTCTTCCCTTTTTTTCTCCTCGTTGGTCATTGTAAATGCAGACACCTCTTTAGGCTTGAATTCAGCAACAGATCTTTTCACAACATTTGAACAGGGTTATCTCATTGGAGACAGCTTGTGGTTTAAGTTCTCAAAGTTCCAGGCTGATAAGTGAAGATGAATAATAGATTATAATAGAAGATGATTAAGTGTTTCTTAATGTCTTTAGCTATTTCTGACATTTTTATATATGTGCACACATGCATATATACATACCAGTTGGGTTGGGACGGGGGGAAGCCATCTGGCCCAATGGGGAGCATGCTCTGGAAGGTTTGTATTTTTAAAAAAATTGATTTTTCTGAGGCGTGGTCTTGGGATCTAAGTTTTACTTTTAGGACTGTAGTTTGTCTCTTCCTTCAGGTCGGTGTTGACCATAGTGTGCTGTGGAACAGTTGTTTGATTATCACAGCAAGTAAGTGGTGGGGCAATGTAGAAGAGGTTCTTGTATTCAGTGGAATTTAGACTGATTTCTGTGTCATGTGGATTGTAATACCAGAAACTTGTGGAAGTGTCCTGGCTAGATGGCATCTATCAGAAAACAAGGCAGTGTTGGGTGCTTTGTAGTGCTGTAGCCAAGTGGAGGAAGATTCAGCATCTATCGGTGTTTCTCTCATTGGCCTTAGCATGTTTAATATCTAATTTAGCACTAGAAAGCTGAAGATACCACTGAGCACTGAGAGAAGCTGGAGAAGCCTTAGTCCCCAGCAACTAGCCATCTGATTGTACCAAAGCTCCTTTCTCTTTATTGTATTGCACATGTTTGCAGTTACTAGTACAAAATAAATGCACAGGCAAGCAGTTTTCACACCTCCATTTAAAAAAAAAAAACCCAAACCAACCAAAAAAACCTCCCCCCCAGCTATCACTTGTGTGTTAATTTAACTTATTTTATTCCCTTTATGTTCAGAAAGCATAGTTGTTGGTAGTTTGTATGGTTCCAATAACATTGTAAAAAACATTGCAATCTATGCAGTTAACACACTGAAAGAGCAATCTCTCTCAGACCAGGAGAGGGGACAGAGTGGAAAGAGTGTGCCAAAGTTTATTTCTATAGTAATTTTGTCTTAGCTTTCATATTGTTGTTCAGTTCTACTGGTGATAACAATGGTGGGAGGGTTGGTATAGATAAGGTCTAGACAGATACGGCAGATATGTAGCAGCAACAAAAGAAGGGAGAAAATATACACCCAAAAATAGCCACTACGACTACAGCTTTCTGCATGTTCGTTAGATATTTAAATATGGATTTTTTTCTTTGGCTCTTGGAACCTCTGCAGAGGTACAAGACCACCACAGGGCTGGTTCTGGGTGTAGCTAGGCAGAGTGGGTGATTGCCTGGAAGAGCAGGTTGCCTGAGGCAAGTGCTGATGCCAGCCCACTGCTCCCTGTGCTTACCCTAAAGCTCTGCAAGGCCACGCTGATCCTTTCACCTGGCATGGGAGATCGAGCGTGGGTTCAAAGGTGGCA